ATGTTTCTATGGGATGATTGGTAATTCCTCGGAGGAGGTAACCTACAGTTGCTAACAAGATTTCCCACGGTCTAAATGAAAGTATGGAACTCAATGAGTTAAGTTTAGCAAATTCATTTGGACTAAGTGAATCTGAAACAAAATAGTGGTGTCGGAACGAGTGAACCGAAGGATCCTAACCGGTGTCGCTCTAATAAACTTTAATATATCTCATAAAATTTAAACAACCATGACCATAGGAAATATGTGATTTAACATAAAGACTTGACACATTAGAAAACTTAAACTTACTATGACGAGAAGCTTGGAGCTAGCATTGTGGGCAGCACGACCATCTTCAACAACAAAACATGTCTACATTAGCTAAACCATTCTCTCCTTAGAATTAAATAACCAGTCTATACGTCTTTGAGGTTGTTTGCTTATGCAACGTAAATCCTCAACTTATCTTTAGGTTTTTGTATAGTTCTGCTATACAATATAAGCCCTAACTCGTTTTAGGACTTCATGGTTGCAATTCATCACAGCCTAAATCCTCACATCTTCTAGGCTGTTTGTGTTATCATTTAGCACAAATGTGAGCCTTACTTAATAAAATTGGCAGGATGAAACATTGAAGCATTTCACCTCTAAATTGAAGCCAAACCATAGGGTAGCTTGGGAAGTCACCGATGTTCTCCTCAGAATCTATAACATCCCATAGTTCTTTTTCCTTTGGATTCCAAAAATAAAATGTTCCAAATTTGAGTCATTCCCCTTCAACACCTCTTTGTCCAATCTCGTTAAAAAGTCCTAATTCTTTGACCTCTTTGAAGATAATATCATATGATTTTTATCGAGAGTTTTCCTAGATGACTTCGGTTATCTAAGATGTAATTAACTATAGGGGCTTACCCTTATATGAAGTTTTTCCAAACCCAGCTTAATATAAACCCTATTTAATATTTCATATTAACTAGGGGAACTTGTCGGCTTATAATAAAATGATTTTGCGTACCAAATGGATATCATATATTTCTTAGTTTATTTGATTGAGTCTCACCCTCAAGTTTTGTATTTATCATTCAGGATAGATACATGGCTTGAGGTGTATTGCTCTTTCATTTAAACTATGAAGATATGAGATCAGTTTGATTTCATATTTTTCTAAAACTTAAATATATATGTAAATTAAATATCTTTCTGAAGCGGGTGATGAGATTTTGATTCTGGCGATCGACAGCTTCCAACGGGCGACTCCTCAACTGTTTTTAGAGCCAACAATGGCTGCTAGGCACCAAAGAGCTGGTGTTTAGACACAAGTCTCTCTATAGGCTAGGATCAATATGAGTACCTAGGCGCTCACGAGTCTGGGACTAAGCACCAATAATGTAGTGCCTTGGTGTCCAACTAGCACCTAGGCGTTAGTCTCTCAGGTTGTCAGGGCAATTAGTAAAGCATAGGAGCTCCAAGGTCTGGCGCTAAGGCACCAATTTCTTGTGATTTCCTTTGCTCCAAGTCCCCGCCACATTGCTCTATGTCTCATTCACTTTTCTCTACTTCTAATACATGTTATATCTGCAAAAAAATGTATAAACAAATTTATTTTTCTAAAGTGCAATTTCATCCATAAAAACGTGCAAAAACATAAAAGAATGTATGCATACTTTTTTACTTATCACGTACACTCTTGGGCAATTATATGAAAGGTTACCTTATGAAAGTTCTATAAATTTTTTTTTAAATTATTTGTTTAGTTTCATCATATTTTCTTACATTCTCATTCCTCTCTAGTTTGAATCATCTCCAAGATTCAAAAGAGAGATTTACCTAAAAGGAGAATTATATGATGAGGATAAGACAAGTCAACGATCCAAATTTACAAAAAAAACAAAAACACTCATGATAATCACATATTCAAATTCAATACTCAACGATGTAAATAAAATTTTAATGCCTCCATATGGTTCGTATATTCATGATTACATTTAAAATGCTACATTTAAAGATGTTCTAATGATGTTATTATGTAGGAAAATACCACCTCATCGATTCGGGATATCCCACGCAAAATGGTTTCTTAAAGCACTTCCCCCATATGAGATACCATCTTCCAAACATTGAGTGTAGCCAACAAGTGATTAGAGTGAGAAATGAAATCTTCAAAACAAGACACTAATCATTATGAAGTGTTATCGAGTGAGTATTTGACGTATAGAAGAAGAAGTGGGGCATACTCAAAGATATGCCAACATATTATTTCAAAAAATAGATAAAGATAGTTTTTGCAATGACATCTCTTTATAAATTATAAGAAAATATCTATCATGCTAGGATGTTGATTTCAGGGTTTTGGATGAAAATCTAAAATACATAACTGTAGAAGCATGCAAACACTAGACATGTCAATCTTCACTCAAGGATGACTTTTATGCTTATGACATCAACACGTCTGATGGGGCGTGTGTTCAGGAGACGATACAGTTGAGAGATGACATTGTCGATGTTTTAATGCATTCATTGTGTATGTCAAATTAATATTTTTTAGTTTCTCCATTTTGATATTTATTGTTTCAGATGCATGGAGGATTAGCTGATGTCTTTTTCTCTTATATGTTTTGATATTTTAATTTTCTAAATTTATAACTTTAGATATGCATATTTTACCCTTTGTCTGTTTTTATTTTTTTTTGTTACAAGTGAAACCTTTATTTTTTATTGTCATATTGCATATGTAGCCTAATTTCTTGAATAAAAACGTGGTTTATTATAATCTTAGGAAAAATAAGTTCATGTTCATATGGTACATCGAGAGCTCTATATTGTCATTGTGGCACACAGTGTTCTGAATACATTTAAAAAACGAAAGGGAGCTATGAGGGGATCAAATTTTATTGTTGTTCTAGAAAAAGGACACGTTAAGATTGTAGATTTTTTTGATGCGCTGATGATGAAGAGGAGCTACAAGTCAAGAGAGAGATTTTGGATGAAAATTTACCTTGAAAACTTGAACGTCTGGATATAAAGTTGAATGTCGTTATAGCATTATTGGTTGTTTTTATAGTTTCTTTTATTTTGTATTATGCATAAAATGATGACCTATAATTGATGTACTGAAAAATGTTGGACTCATGTTGTATTTTTAATATTGTTGAAGTTCCTTGTATTATTCTACTACAATTTTTCTGAAAACTGCAATGATTTAATTAATTTAAATATATAAGTGAATAAAACAACTACAACACAGCTTATTATCCAAACAACTTCACATTTATTTTTGCAGTAGCTTTATAATAGCTGTAGCTTTTTGAAAAGGCAACTACCACCCCAAACACACCAGTAATCTGTTAGCACATAAATTATATAATATACTCATATAAAAAAATAAAGACGTATCAAATATTCTTTAAAAGTCGTTATGATTAAGTTTTATTTGACAGAGTTTTCTTATTTACAAATTTTGTCCCTCTAAATAATGCTAGAATATTAACATTATCCTATAATTAAAAAATAAGTAATTTATCCAAAGTTGAACTTGAAACAAAAAAAATACTCTTAATATTAAATTCTCTTATAAGTAATGTCAATGCATAAGTGGGAGCACATGCAGCTCTTTTTCTTTCCCAAATTTTATATTTGTTTGAATTATATATATATATATATATATATATATATAATCTTAATTAAATTAATAACAGCATTTGTAGATATTTACTTAGCCTCCCAAATTAGAATGCTTTACTTTTATTATTTATTTATTTTATTTAAAGTCCAACCGCCCTCGGGTGCCAGTGAGTCAACTAGACTTAAAAGTTGTCATGTGCTCGACTCAATAAGTGGCTCGTGAGTTGAGCTCGATGAGCTAACAAGCAAAGTTCAAGCCAGCCCTCACTTAACTTGTTAGCTTGTGGGTGGGCTCATTTAAAAAAATATTATAATCAAAATACATTAAGTTCCAAAACTTTATCTTTTAAGATATAAAAAATATTAAAAAAATTATACTTTCCATTGTATATTTGATCATTTTTGTTATTTATATTCTAATTACTCATTCTATATATAATCTTATTATAAAACTCACTAGACATAATATCATTTTCTCTACTTGCTATTAAACAGGTCGGCTAGCGAGTTGGCTTGAACTCGTAGAAGTAAACTCGAAATCGATAAAGTTAACCAAACTCAAGCTGAAGCTGAGGGTGTCTCGGGCTTCACTAGCCTTGTTCACGGAAAAAATTTGCGTGCAATAGACGTACGCAGCAGTGCGTGCGGTATTAGTTATATGGAGGGTACAAGGGGGTTACATCCACAGTATAAGCCCTTGTAACTTTCCTGTAATCTCCCTGTAACTTACGTGTAACCTCTTAATATATGATAACAGAAGCGCAAAACTTATTGTAGGGTACAGATAGGTTACAACAAGTTACAGGGAGGTTACAAGGGGTTATACCGTGGATGTAACTCCCTTGTACCCTCGGTATAACCTCAATATCGCACGCAGCACTGCGTACGTCTATCGCACGCAAATTTTTTCACACCCCTTTACATCCCCCACCCGTATTTATCGCGTTTTCTTCAATTCATTTATTTACCCTCCTCGTGGCTTTCGCTGCATTACACCATGTCTACGTTTAAGAAAACATCTCTCGTTCAATCCTTTGAAAATGCTCTCACCGGAACCTTATTTTATGTTGTTTTGAGTTCACGAGTTCAATCATCTCTTCTGTTGCTTCAAATCACATTTTGTTCTGACGCTTCGAAATCAAAAGGTTTAAAAACCCTGTTAATGAGATCCTTGAGGAATTTCATAAAGCCTTAGAGAAGATAAAGTTTTTATAATCATTTTTCTTTAAATATTATAATTGATTGTGTCGAAACGCACATAATAAATATTTTATTCATGAAATAATATAACTTGATCCACCGTAATTTTTTGGCAAAGATAAACCTGAGGTGGCCTAGTTCCTATCCAAATTTTCATTTTCAACCCCCGCACTTCAATATTCACATCCTAGCTCTCCTCCTCTCCTTATAAATTAGTGAAACCTTCCCCAGAACCACCGCATAAACTGAAAACAATGGATTCATTACTCCATGAATGGCCGGAACCCATCGTCGCCGTTCAATCCATCGCCGAAAGCGGCGCCACATTAATCCCCGTAGACTACGTGAAGCCCGCTGCCGATCGGCCTGCTGTTGCCGGAACCACCGCCGCTCGTGAACTAAGCATCCCTATCATCGATCTAGGGAAACTTAAAACAGGCGTCGTTGATTTTTATGCCGTGATACGTGAGATCTCTGATGCTTGCCGTGAATGGGGATTCTTCCAGGTGGTGAACCATGGTGTCGATAATGAATTGGTTAATGCCGTGATGGGGGTTTGGAGAGAGTTTTTCCACCTTCCAATGGAGGAGAAGAAGAAGTTGGCTAATTCACCAGTAACTTATGAAGGTTATGGAAGCCGTCTTGGTGTTGAGAAAGGTGGGGCGCTAGACTGGGGCGACTACTTCTACCTTCATATTCTGCCACACAGTGTCAAAAACTATGATAAGTGGCCAAATGTCCCCTCTGCATGCAGGTACTGTGCTCTCCCGACTAAGAATACTGTTTGTCCATATTGAGTTATTGAATATGTGGTGTATTACAGGGAAATTACGGAGGAGTACGGGAGGCAGATGGTGAGCTTATGCGATACGGTTATGAAGGTGCTGTCAATAGACCTGGGGTTTGACGTAGGGTTTCTAAAGGAGAGGTTTGGAGGAGAAGATATTGGAACATGCATGAGGGTTAATTACTATCCTAAATGCCCGCAACCCGAATTAACGTTGGGGTTGTCTGCACACTCTGACCCGGGCGGGCTTACTGTACTTGTGGCTGACCATGAGGTTCCCGGGCTTCAGGTGCGCGAGGGGAGCGCTTGGGTCAACGTCAGCCCGGCCCCCAATGCACTTATCGTTAATGTCGGAGATCAGATTCAGGTTAGTATGGCCATGTTCTCCATGGTAAGAGAATTTTTGATATATTTTTCTTTATGTACCATAGTTAAGTTTTACATTGATATTTGTTTTTAGAAGTTCTTCATGGTGATTTAAGTATAAGAGGACACTAATGTTATTGCAAAATGGATGGAGAAAAGTGATAAATATTTATTGTATTTTTATGGTTATACTTTGCTTATCCAAGTGAAAGAAAACGATGGCGTACTTAAGATTGATGGAATAAATTCTATCCGTTACTTGTAGCTCATAACTATGTAATGGTTTAAAAATCTATGCTTTCAATTAGCAAATCACTATGCTAGTATGATGAACAATGGTTAATTGATGGTACTAACTATTGATACTATTTATGTGCTACTTTCAAATTTACTCATAAAAACGCTATATTTTTTGTCTTTGCACAAGTAGCATGTTGATGTCTCACGTATAAAGTCCATTCAATATGAGCATTTTTAAAAGTAAAAAATAGAATATATTTATTTTAATTATGCACATAAAAATAACACCTTTTCCCGTATTTTAAAAGCCAGATACATTTTTTCATGCATCCATTTAAAACACTACAAAATCCAATGTATATAATTATTAAAGTTGTGTGTGAGATGTGTAAATGCATAAGAATTGTGTGCTAACTTTCTCTTTATTTTATAAAATAGAATCCATATTAACAAGGAAATAAATATATTTCTTTCCTTATGGTCAATCCACAGATTTTGTTGACAAGTGTTTTCACCGAGTTGCTAAAGCACAGTTAAGCTCCCGACAAAAGAGCCCATTTAAGCCATGTGCTAAATTAGACTATGTAATAAAGTTTTTTAGTGGCATTTTCGTGCCTATCTACTCTTCCCATTATTACGAAGGTAGGTATTTTGTCCTTTACATAGAATTTCTTCTCCTTAAGGATCTATTTGAAAGAGCTTTCTCAATGTTTTATTTTTCAGACCGTCACTATTATTTTGTTTGAGAAATTGTTCTCTTGCTATTTTTTAAGATTTTTCTGGTGTCAGTCAGAAAGCTACGCTTCGATTTTTTTTTTAGAAAATAAATTTATAATTGTCACTACACATTTTCTTAAGAATTGTTGCTTCACAAATGATTTTTCAAACAGCTATAGCCGTTCCAAACTGACCCAACGTACAATCTAGGGATTGATAGTGATTTGACCCAGTAATATAAACATCTCCATTAGAGAAAATATTGGGAGATCGATGAGGGAAATAATGAGAGAGAGCAACATTAAGGAATTTAAGTTAGAAGCTTTTGATATATTTATATGACGAGTATAAAATAAATAATCAAATCATATTATTTTATCGGAATTACAGTACAATATAAATTAGTTTAGAGGAAAAATGAGTTTGATTGTTATTTTATAGTGAAAAAAAATGTATGGTCTCAAAGTTTTTTGTAAATGCCTTGTAAATCTTTTGAAATATCATTTTCATTTCGGTTTCCTCTCAAGTTGAATTAAAAGCACATGGCATAACTTTTTAAATCATATTAATAGCATTATTTCACGCACGTTTTATTTATATATTTTTTTTCTACCATTTAAGAGACTAAGTGCGCGCAGTAACAAGAAGGTGATTGTTTCGTAAATGAGATTGTTATACTCAAGAAAAGAATACATACGAAAACTGGATGCATCTGTAGTCCAATGGTGGGGCACCACGTGTCAAGTGGGCCCCACTATATTTAACATGGAACAATGCAATGTATTGCGGTGGGGCCCAATTTATACGTGTTGCCCCACCACTGGTCTCCGGACGCAAATTACAACCAGAGTCAGGATGGTAATACTTTCTCGCTATCCTCAAACTTTTTGTACTCTCAATCTATTAAATAAACACACATTAATATAGAGCAATACAATGTAAATGTCAAATTAAAGAATTTACAAGCTATGTTCACTAGAAAATCTCTCTTGAGATATCAACGAGTCATATGTGCGAGCAATATTTGATGAATGCCATTTTTAATATTTGATTTAAACAAAAATTAATACAATAAATTTAACTATTTTGCTGTTTGTTTTTCTTCATAAATGCAACTCAGATACATTCAACCGGACACTAAAAGTTGACATGCCACAGGTATTGAGCAATGCAACATACAAGAGCGTGGAGCACAGAGTATTGGCTAATGCAGTCCAGGAACGATTGTCGATCGCTTTCTTCTACAATCCGAAGAACGATCTGCCATTAGAGCCGGTGAAGGAGCTCGTAACGCACGAGAGACCGCAGCTTTACAGAGCAATGACCTTCAGTGAGTACAGGCTCTACATAAGGAAAAAGGGCCCAAGGGGCAAGACACAGGTCGAATCTCTCGAGGCCATGTGATAAATAATATTGAAATGTCTACTAACATGTTATATGTGCTTGGTCATTCAGTACACTCATAATGAGGTAAACATTTCACAAGATCTGTACAACATCCGAAAGTACTTTGGCCGAACCTATCTGGATATCTACTCTTTATTTTTAGCACTTATTATACATGCTTTTTGGCTATCCTTTTCTGTCCCTTCTTCTTTGCTGACTTACTTGTTGAATGTTACTGCTTGTTCTCTTTTTTTTTTTTTCTCTTAACCAAGTTTTTCTCTGAATTTTACATGAAATAGCGACCATGCAAGAGACATTGCAAGCATGAGGCAAGAGACGACTATTCTAATCCCACGTGATGGAAAATTGAAATGAGGCTTTCAGATAAAAATAAAAAAAATAAAAGAAATAATAATGATGTGATAATGACACAATGCTTTCAAGATTATTTATTTCAGAAACAGTTATGGATTGCTTTCAATGTTCAACTATTAGACAGATCTTAACTTTTAAACAAGCTAATATTATAATATTTTAATTATATAACTATAAAGGATATCTGAATTATTGGGGTTGAGATAATTAAGTTTCCATTAATGATGAGTGCTACATGAGGTTAAAATTCATATAGATCTTATTAATAATAGTTCAAGACTGATTTTCCTCCTTTTATTTTAGTTAACAAGAATTTTAATTATCTATTTTGAGCAAATTGGAGAATGATTTACTATTTCGAGGTAACGTATTAAAAAATATTAATAAAATATGAAATATAATCGTTTGTTTCCTTTATAAAAGAACCATTTTTGTCTAAGAAGCTATTAAAGGCCCAAATGAAATGTCAAGTGTGGGTTCTTCTCGAACTATAGGATTTTGACAACTTACTGTCGGTCAATTTTGACGCGAATATGTTAATAACTCAATACAAAATATTATTAGTATTCGATTTGCATTGGATATATGCTCCATGCAAAAATAGGCATTGCAAATACAAGTAACGTCAATTGTGGCCAACACAAATAAATTACTTCAACATTAACATCCAACATTGTTGAGGTTAGCCAGTTTCAACGCGACTCAAAACGACATAAACGTTAAATATGAAATCTGAATCCACCATTTTGTGGACACAAACTTCCGTCATCAGTTGTGTCCATTTTCGCTGGAGAGATAGATTAGCATCAGAATGTTTCGAAGGTATTAGCGTAAGAAATTTCCAATGCCATATACCAACCAAGAAAATAATTTTCTAACTACAAAACAAGAAAATAATACACCAACCTCAATGAAGCATCATCATCAAACTCATGCTCAACCACCCCATTCTTTCCCTCCTCTTCCTCATCCATCAAACTCAAAGGCCTCTTGTCACAATGATCTTCAATCTGCTCGGTCAGTAGCACTATAGTGGTGTTGGCTTTCTATTGGCTCTCACGTAGTTGACATAGCTCCTTGATCATAACAATGATACATCAAACAAGCTCATCATTCTCTGATGATGATGACCCTAGCCACCCTGGCTAGCTCAGGAATGCTCAACCATAAATGTACTGTCTTTTATGCTCATGTTGAACACCATCCCCCTTTTCTTTACTACTACTGCCTCCACATTTTAAAGTCAGATGGTTAACAGACTGATTACGACCGCTATTACTGGCTGCTAGGCTATGGCTTTAAATCTGGCTCTACATGTCCCAAATGTGCTCGTACTTCTCTTATACAATTAAAACAAAAAATTAGTTGACATTTTGCAATAATAACATAAGAGAATGTGTAGATTGAATGCTTCTTACATACATTGACACAACAAGAATGGTCTAAGAAATATTTTTGCATCCCCGAGCACCAATGCATCAGAACATATAACTCTAGTAAGTATCAAATAATTGCACCACTGACCTGTTTTATATTTAGTGAAACTTACCAACTTCTAGTAGTATTTTATGTGTGGGACTGATCCAACAATATGCAGTGTGGAGCCTCTGGCTCCCTGGATCCTTCTTCTTTGTTAGTTTGTTTTTCTCTTTCTTTGGAAATTAAAAGATACCCATGATCTGGTAAAATATGCCAAAAAATCCTCCCCAACCCAGCTTGGCCTCTCCTCTTTCCCACAAGCTATTGTGAATGTATCACCCAATCAATGTTTGTTGCTGACATAAGTTACTTTTACTTTATTTTAATGGTATGTTATCATTCTTTTTACTTCTTATATCACCTCATTTATGTTAATTTTATATTTTTTTAAGGTACTTGGTGCTATTTTGCAAATTATAAGTGTCAAACATGCAAAATAGAGTCAAAAGAAGAAAAACAGTGTTGTTTGGCATAGTCACGCTTGATTTAGGCGTGATGGCACCTGATCTGGGCTTAGCCACGCCACTTTCGGATCTGTCAACGCTGGTTTCAAGTGTGGTCACGCTACCGGACCACCAGATTCAGCTATAAAAGGTATTTTTCATGCTGATATTTACTGGATTTTTTAAAGAGGAAGCTAGGGCGTGACTAGAAGGACTCTTTTAGGGAGAGGAAAGAACCGAAGACAGCTTGGGCGCTAAACTTGATGGTTTTTTAGAATTTCCCTTTTGTTTCAATTTCCTCTCTTGGGATTGAGGTACTAAGAGTTTTCCACGTTTTTGTATATTGTTCTTATATGTTTGGAGAGGTCAATGTATGAGAGAGGATTTAACTACTATCGAAGAGGGAACAAATCATTTTGTTGGTATTTTCTTTTCATCTTTTCTTGCAATAATGGTTTTGATGTGATTTTTTTTCAGGATTCTTTCTATCCTGTGCCGCTAAAATTTTATTCACGTATATGTGATTTATGATATGTGTTCTATAATTTTTTCAGATGATTTTTTTCCTTGTATCATTTTGCTGAGAAATTAGGGATTTTCGTTGTTGTATTAATAATAGAGTTTAATTTATTCTTGACAAATTAGGATGTTGACATATTTGATGATGTGTGACTCATATTCGTTGTGCAGAGGAATAAAATGGTTAACCACAAAATTTGAGTAACAATAAACATATTTTATTCAGGATTGCAACCTACAAATGAGATCATAACAAATCTGTGGATTGTCATAGGGATTGAGGAATTCTAAACTTCATTAATTCTCACCTTTTGTACTATACATATGCATAAGAAGGACTTTATATCCTTGTTGATTACTATCATGTAGAAGAAATTTTAGGAAAATCATGAATCATCACATCACCTAAATCACAAGAATGCGAGCCTCGCATGATTTAAAGAATCATAAGATTTGCCTTCCACTTTTTTTATGTCTTCTCCAAATTTGTTATCTTTTGTTCTTGTTTTAATAGGATTTTAAGAAACCACGTCTAATTCTGATCACACTAAACTTGGTTTAGAAGTGTGGCAAACAAGAGATTTTCCCCGCAGAATAATTATTAATATTTTCCTTTTGGGATTGATATGCGACACTCAATAATCACATTATCAAAAAACACGTACACTTGTATGGTGTTACCAACTTACTTTGTTGTAAGTTTTGGTGTGTTGATCCCGGTTGGATATAGTTGTGTAAAATTTATAAAGTTAACTCCGCTTTGCAACGACGCCAAAAACTTGATGTTGTATTTTATGAATAATAACGTTAAGTAGTTAATGTTGGGATTCTACGCAAGTATATGTATCGTTATCAAGTAGTATAAGTCTTTCTATTTAAGTCTCAAATATCGATCCCACGAGGAAGGTTTAAATTTGAGATGATAAATTAACAAGTAAATTCACAGAAATAAAACAAAATTATTGTAACTAATTTTGAATGTTTCAGATACTATCAAAGCTAAATTAATAACAACTAGCAGAATTTAAATGCAGAGTTTAAAATAGTAACTACTAAACTATGTTTATGTGATGAAGTTTTCTAATATGAAATAGCATATTTCCCACTACAATGAGTTTTTGGTGAAATTAGATGAGATGAGATAAAAATTAGATGAGATAAATGGTTTAAATTTGTATTGTACCAAATATGAGCAATTTTAATTCTCTACCCTGATTCAGTGTTATAGAAAATCATTGGCTAATCTTATATTTAGTTCCTAAATCTGTGGCTAGACTGGGAGGATACTGGCTCCCACCCCCGAGCTCCCACTTCCCTTCCCCTGAAGGCTAACTCTCTCTTTAGTTTTTAAACAGTAAGCTTGAATTGGGGATTTTTTAGTCTGTTACCCTAAAAATCTCCACTTCTACACCCAACAAAATAAATTTTTCTATTTATTTGTACTTAATTCCATGAACGAAATCCTCCTTCATGGACTTAAATATGATTCTTACTTTGTTGTAGAACTCATACTCCATTTCTTGGATTATATGTTTCACAACATATTTTAACAATTCAATTGGCCAGATCAAAAAGTAAATTAAGAGCGGCGTTGAAAAACTATCACAATTTATTTTAAATTTTAACATTGACACATCCAAATTATCTCTTCATTTCACCATATCTCAGAGTAGGGAGCAAGATAAAAGAAACTACTCAGACTTCATGAGAAAGATACAACAAAACATAAATTTCATATATAAAAGGAAGTTCATACAATAATAATAAACAAACAATACTTATCTAAAACTCTTTCTCAAAGCAAATCCTATGTACTCTCTTAATAAATGTAGGAAGAAGAAATCTCTCACTTCTCTCCCTCTCCAACACTTCTTATAGAGTAAGTCACACTTAAACTCACCACAAAAATTCAAAATTATAAAGAAAATAAAATGATTAATGGTGTGGAATGGCGTGGAAGGAAGTAAAGTGACATGAAAAGGGGCGAAGAACAACCAAGAGCGAGTGGAGGAGCGTGAAGAGGTGCGAAGGGGGTTTTTTCTAATCAATTTTGGCTCTAAATAGAGCCTAAGGTCGGTTCTCTAATAGGTGCATCCAAAAACTCTTAAAAAAGCATCCAAATCCGTCGAATCTTCTAGAAACAGGGTCTGCACCGACACTAGCGCCATCGTGCGACCATTTTGGCGTCGTTGGTGCCAGTGGCCATCTAATTAAATCTTTCTTCTCTGTCAAATGGCACCGACAGTGCCCAGTCTGGTGTCATCGACGCTGAATAATTTTTCAAAATCTCCATTTTGACTCTAGATTTCATCCTTTTTGCTTCATTTTTGCTCCAAGTCCTAAAAATTAACAACCTATAATAAAACATGAAAAATACCTTCCATTAAAGTGCAATATC